TACCCCCAACGCGAGAGAACCCCACCACAACTGGCAAAATGACAAGCTGACTACATCACACCCCGCCTGTGCATGTTTGGTAGACTCCAAAATTGGGATCCTTACATGAGAAACACCTGAACATTGCAACTTGTAAATGGCGGTTTCCAACTTGTTTTTGCTGTTGAAAAAGCCATGTTTCACATGGTTGCAAAAGGATTTTCTTTTAAGGAGCCCTGCAAAACTGGCGTGGCAACAGAAGTCCAGGGCACTCATCTGGAAACACGCTGATGGCCTGCTTGTTCAGGATCCTGAGCGCAATTTCACACAAACAGCCAGACGGAGACACCTCCCGGCAAAGCTTTGCCACATCGCTCTAGGAGTGTTCAGAGGGGCCAAGAAACAGGCCTTTGAGAGCAAGCTATGTATGTCATGCCAGCAGAAGTCGCTGAGAATCTGAAACGCACAAGAGACATGAGGACTGCAAAGTGAAATCTCAGCGGCATCATGCCCACGGAGCACACCATCCACGAGCTGACTCCAGTGACCTCGGTGAGCTCATTGTCTGCCTACTCACTCAGTGTGACGCTGACAAGTTATGCATACCGCATGCTTTGCCACTGTGGGGACATGTGTACCCTGCATCCCAAATAATAACAGGGCGCCTGACAGGGAATTGGTCCTTCCAAGAGGAAGCTTCTCTTCCAGGAACCCCACAAGTGCCTTGTTAGTGGGAGGAAGTGTAACTCGGATGCCAGAAGGTACCTGGTACACTCCCGTCCGCTCCTTAATTTGGCCATCACAGCCTGGAACACAAACTCAAGCTGAACGGCTCGCATAGCCTCGCAAACGGCAACCTGTACACCTGCCAGTTGCCATGTGCCAGCACGGTCAATATCGAGTCTCAGCCAACTGGCCTTGCATCGAGGGCATTTTCAGGTGGGTTGTTTGGAGATGTGGAGGTTTGATACCACATAAGGGGCGTATGCGGCCCCTTCTCCATTTAGGTGGCAATGGAGAAGAAACTCCAAAAACCCTGAAGATGCCGTTGATATCAGTGTCAAGGGAGATGATTCAAAACTGACCGGCATGCCCCCTTCACTATGCTGGTGGGGGGGGGGGGTCGAACTTCGCCGCTGGGTCGCCGTCTCCATGTCGAGGCCTGCATCGAGCGTGGCAACACCGACCTCTGAGCCACGGAGAATTGGCCTGGAAAGCGGCCAAACATATGGCTGTGGGTCAAAGCCCAAATCGTACCCGTGGTGAACATCCCAATCCAACCACTAAAATAGGTTCGAAAATGGGTGGTGCACCGAAAACCCCTAAAATGGGATCTTATTGGTTTTGACAACCACGGCCATATAGCAACCCTCTGGTGAATTTGCGGTTTGGCGCAGATCTGAGAAAGATCATCCCCCGTTTCGTGGCCGCGGGCCGTGCTCCCGGCCTTTCGGCGGCATAGCTACTTTACCGGGAAGGGCAGTTCGATGAGGAATTGCATCAACTGCGCAGAACTAGTTCTGGAGCCAGATCAGATCGCGGGCGAGCTAAGCCCCACAAAAAAAAGAAGAGAAAAACAACGCCGATGTCGCGTTGCCATGGACAAAACATAAGCCTGGGCTGGCCTCAAATACCCTGCTAAAAGTGTAACTTTTGGTGTGTGTGAGATGGGAACCTTGCTAAGGCCCTAAAAATCCAAGGGTTTTTGCTACCCTGGAATTACGCCCTCTAAAGAATCACCCGATTCTAGGCTATATCCAGATACAACCTGATTGTTTTTGTTTACTTGGGTAGTTTCCCCAGCAGGGGTGTAATCCCAGGGTGTTATAGACAAATCCTTAGAACAAATACTTACAGTAAAAGCGCAAAAACCGATGGAAATGGCTGGGAGCTACAAAGGAGCCAACAGGTTGAAACAAAAAGGGGTTTACAAAACATGGATCAAACAACTTCAGATGGGCTTCTCAGGCACAGGCCATGAGGTGAGCCGGCGCCCAAAAAGACGGGAAAAACTTACAGCTCTGGTTCTTTGTGGTGGCTGTTTCAACCTCCTCCGAAACCCAATGAGTCTTCTCTCGCCCGAACCTCAGGCGCTTCTAACCACACCTGGGTCATGACCCCAAACCAAACCAATCCAACTGGTGGTTTCCTTGGTTCGGGAATCCCAAAACCGGTTCGTTCAACCAAAGGGTTGGGCTCCAGAGTATCCTACCGTTGAAACCACCCCTTGGGCGTTTGGGGGCCATGTCCTGCAGACTTTCCTGTAACCCAACCCTTTCAAACCCGGACTCGCAAATTGGAAGAAAGCCAGAAGGCACACCACCATTTCATTTCTTAAATTTTCTCCATCCCCATCCTCCGAATACGATCCCAGCACTCGACACCCACCCCCACCGCTGGGGGCCGCGCGGCTTCGGCACGAAGCGCTCCAAGCGCCCCTCGAGTCGCTCGAGCCGTGGAGAAAACCCCCCCCCCCCGCAAATAGTTCAGCCAGGACCTGACGTTGGGGACACGGTCCGTTTAGGAAAATGGTGCACACCTGGAACATTTTGGTGGAACGGTTCCGGCTGCTCATTGGCACTTGACAGTTGGATTTACCGAATCTGACGGGACTTTGGGCCCTAGCTTGGTTCTCTCCGAAGTTGGTGAAAGAGGCCCAAGCGGGAATTGGGCCAGGGGCGTGTTGGGGACATGGCTGTGGAAAATACCCCTTGTGACACCAAGGTGATTGCTTGATGACTTCTTTCTCATCTAGAGAGCCTTTGGGAGGCTGGCGCTAGACCACCACACCCCCCCATTGTCCACAACCCATCAGCCACCCTTTGCCTTGGATCGAATTCTGGTGGCCCCAATCACAGGATCCACTGGCTCTCCCGGGCGTTTGCCGATCACTCGTTCCCAATTCCAGGGTTTGGCTGGGGTGCAAAGGCGTGCCAAAGATCAAAAGGACGCCAGGGCATAGACTCTTTCGACGAAACTGTCTGCATGGGAATTGATCAAAAGGTCCGTTACATGGGATGACAATGGGTGGAACAAATAATCAAGTGATATTTTCCGACTAACTGGGAAAAGCTACCTATGGCCATCTGGGGTCAGGAATATTGATCAACCCCCACATACCGACCTTTGCTTTCAATTCAACATCACCTTGAGGACCCTGGAGGTGTCTTCTGGGCTCAGGTGCATGTGTGTGTGTGTGTGTTCTGCGTGTCCGGGTGTCGCTGGGTGTGGCGGGCTGCGTCCGTTTGTCTGCCAAGTCCCTTATGACAGCTACACAAGCTGCATTCACAACTAGGTTCTCCAGTAGAGAGCTCAGAGTAAGGGTACCAACTTTCTTCTCTGTAGTCTATGTTAGTAGGGGAACCAACCCTTCAAAAAAGAAACGTAAAAGGGCACGACTGGAGCACCTAGACAACCATCGACCCGTCAGAACCTGGTCATCTCTACGTGCTGTTCCTCCCTCCCTGCCGCCTCTGGCCGGACGGTGCGCCGCCGCTTTGCCGGTGTCGCCTTTTCCTGGGGCGCGTGTACTGACCAGGCGACCCACTGCAACCGAAACAGGGAACGCTTGAAGCAACTCAAGAAGGCACCCAGCAGGACCCGCGCAAACCCGCCAAGAAAATACTGCCAGAAAAAAATAGAACATGAAAATTCCCCAGAGAAAGAAAAGCAGAGAAACAAAAAAAAGACACACACATCTGTTTCTCCGGCGGAGCCCGGTGTCGGAGCTGCATCCTGAGTCACTGAGCTGCACGCCTGAGCCTTGCGGCGCCGCGGAGTGCGGGGAGTTCCTGGGCAAGGGAGGTGAAGTTACCCGCTGCACAAGTCACTCTTTGAAGGTGTGGGTAGTCTAGGTCCTCCAGTCTTGCGAGGTTAGAATAAGGGTACCGTTTCTTTTTTTCTGTAGTCTATTTTAGTAAGGAAACCCTCCCCAAAAAAGGGTAAAAGGGCACTACTGAGGGACCTAGTAGTCCTACTGTGGATGGAATAGACTAAGCCCTGGAAATAATACGAACCGCCTACCAACTGGTGCAGGATTTCGCCCATCCACAGTATCAAAGAGGTCTTGGAGTTGTTGGCTTGGAAGGAAAGACCCTCCAACCCAACCCAATAAAATCCAACCCCAAACCACCCACCTGCCAACCTCAAATGGAAATACCGCGAGCTGCTTAACATGTATGGTTTAAATCAGCGCTAGATTGACAACAACGGTTGGCCGAACAAATATGCAGTAACTTCACGGCTTCATTCTGCACTGCCCAAAGCGATGGCCCGACCAAAACACAAAGAAACATCATAAATACAGACTGGCATGAGAACTGATAAGGAATATGTTTCATCCAACAACTCCAACAACAAATGTACGGCAATGGCTCATGGGGGTCGCTTACACACCAATATATCTAGCATATATATATATATACAAATACATTTTACTTGATATGTATTCCTGGATGGTTGGAGCACTCAGTGGCACCTAGTCATTCCCTTTGACTGCTGCCATATGACCACGCCACCTCCGCCCCATGCGCGTGGCAACTGTTTGACCGTCAGGGCACCAGCATCTGCCGTGGGCCTGGCAGCAAAAGGCTGCTCAAGTGCCACAGCTTCAACGGGGATCCTTACATGAAAAACACCTGAACATTGCAACTTGTCAATGGTGGTTTCCCTTTATTTTGGATGTTTCAATTGGGCAAAATGTATCTTTTAAGGAGCCCTGGATTCGAATCTTGGTTTTTGTGCGGCACGGGAACTACCCTCCCACCGGTTAACAGCCGGAACCGTTCGACAAAATGAGAACGTCAGGCGCCCGCTGTTGATCGGTGGGAGGGTATCTTGGACAGGTTCTAAAGACAACTGCTATGAAAACAAGCCGTCGGAAGATCCTAGTTTGACACATAACACTCAGCGGTTGCACGCATCAGCAAGACCATTGTGAATCCCACACTGAGATACGGAGCTTGGATGGCTTCCAAGCGTGACCTCAGAAGCACGTGTCGTACGCACGGCGGGTACCATGTGCTCATTTCTGACTTGGTATAGGGGCCTGAATTTTAAGTGGGGACCCTGTGGTGGACATCATTTAGGTGGGGATTCATGTCCACCAACCACTGTTAAGGTGGTTCCCTATTTAAATTCACAGCCGTATGGCTGCATGGCTCTTTTTTTCGCGCACTTCAGCTATTCAAGGCTCCAGTTGCGAAGGGCAGGCAATGGCAACTGGCGTGAAACCGCGGCGAATGAAAGGACCGCCGACTCGACCCATGCGGTACTGCAAGTAGTTTTAGGAAATGAAACGTGTGCAAGTGACGATATACGGTCCTGGTCATTCCCCAAACTTGCCCGCTCGTAGCCCGAGATTGGCCTTAGGCCACACAAACGACGCCTTGGCTCTGTTTAGGCAATGCGGAACTTCTGAGCTAAATCAAAGTTGGGCAGGCTTACTCCAGCCACAAGCCGAGTGTCCAGTCCCTCTGGCCATAGCCAGTCCCTTTGGATGGTGGAACATGTGCGCATTTGTCTCCCAACAAGGACCCCCCCCAAACGCCCCGAAACCCCTGGTTTTCCTTCAACCCACCAAAAAGCGGTCCCAAAAAAACCAGACACACAGCCGTACCGCTGAGCGCCACTCACCCCTGCTGAACTCCAAGACACATCCTGCGCTGAAACATCCACACCTCATCCCTGGAGAAAGCAATTTTGACCCCAGGCTAAACTCACCCCTTCTGGCATATCTATGTTTATACAATAGGGGGCGTTCGTGAACCTCCAGAAAAAGGGGACCCCCATTCAACCAGGCGTTTCTGACTCCGGGATTCTCACCATTCACGACTCAAAGGGGAAGCCCCGGGACCCGCTGCGGACCTGGTGGGTTTGGCGGGACCCGCAGGCAACGCAAGGAGCGCAACTGCCAGACGCACTGAACAAGAAATGCATTGGAATCGAAGCCCTTTGTTGAGGGGGTGCACGGACCCCCCTCAAGCGCGCGAAGCACAAGATGAGAAAGAAAAAGCTCCGAGCTGCCCAACTTGGGCAACCCTTCGGAACCTTCGGATCCTCCCGAACCGCCCCCGTCCCGTGCGTCCTTCAGTGGCCGGACATGAGCACGGCGGTGGTCGCAGACGCGCAGATGGTGTTCTGCGCCTCGTCCGTCTCCAAGCCGGAAAACTGCACCTGCGCGACTGCGCGAGGAGCTGTGCCCCAAAGCTGTGCCCCAAATGGCCATGGGGCATAACCTATGGCGAGCCATTTTGGGGTGGATGAACATCCATTTGCCACCTATTTTGATGTGCACCAGGGGTTTCCTGGGTTTTGACCTACAGCCAAATGGCTTCCAACCTGCTCGCTGAACCGACCTTTGGTCGACCTTTGGCAAGCGCTCTCGGTGCCGTTCTCTCGTGCCTTGATGACGCCCGTGTTCGCAGCTTGGAACTTCTTCCGCCAAATCCTGGCGGCTGAGGGCTCGATTTCCCCCGATCTTACTAGCCCTTGCAAGGCGTCTACGCGCAGGACTGCCTTCAACGGAGCTTGCCGAGCCGCCCTCGTTCTGGGCTGGAATTGGGACCCTGGATCCTGGAAACCAAAGGCCTGGCTCCTGGAAACCGAAGGCCAAAGGGACCCCTAAGAAGCCTTTGCAACCCGCCGATCTGTTCGTCTCAACATGCGGTCTGAACTGTCGGCCATCCCGAGCTGTCAAGTCAGAGCCACGCCTGGTGGCGCCAGCTTGGTCTTGGCCAGCAAACTTTAAGAAGGTGGCCTGCCGATATTGCCCCGAGCTGCGGAGGGTCTGCCATGTGTCTAGAATTCTAATATTTCACCAGCCTGAAATCAGGTGGTTGGAGGGATATTCCCCACATAAACCACCATTTGGGGTGAATCCGGTCGTGTGAGGTCGTTAAAATTCACCCAGATGTGTCCTTTTTTGCGTCCCCCCTGATAAAGGCCTGGTTTGGGACACCAACAGGAAGCCCACCTGGTTTTGAGGGGGGCCCGGTCCCCTATGTCGAGACACACTCATGTAAGATGGGTCCACCCGGCTCCATAAAACTCCGCCTTGCTGATCTGCAGGAGCTCACACACCGTTGCTGTAGACACCGTCAGCGGCGATTTCACCGTCTCCGGTGTGGTCAGCGTCTCTTGGTCCACTACAGTCATGCGACTGGCTCCTGAAATGTTGACACGGGCTTGACGGGTCAAAACTCATGGTACCATTTTGGGGTAGGTGCACCACCCATTTTAGTCGATTTTAGTGGGGATTGGGATGTTTACTGGGGGTACAATTTGGATTTTGACCCATGGCCAAACAAGGAAGGGCAGCGTGAGGCTCACAGCGGCACTGCAGTTCTGATGGGCCCTCACGTTGCGACCCCTCAGGCATGAGAGCCGGAACCAATGCAGCCACGGCTCCCATCATGCTGCGCCACCGACACCCTTGCTCCTTGGACCAGGTCACAGCTTGAAAACCAAAAGGACTCACAAATCGGTTCAGGTTTTTTTTCAAGGATCCTCACCAGATCCTTGAACGGAACTCAAGCCCCTCAAGCCCCGACCGCCTGACCGAGCGTGTCTCCCCCAATTTTTCGGCAAGGCGCATCCAGAACTTGCAGCTGGCCCGAGCACAGGATCCACGCGTACTCCGCGACCTCTGCTGGGCCACAGGCGGTGGTGTTGGGGCACCCCATGGGTGCCCTGTTAGGGGAAATAGCCAGCGCCGTTGTAGATCCCATGGGTGTCCTTTTAGGGGGAAATCGCATGGGTTTCCCTGGTAGATGAGGGAAAAACCAGGTAAACCAGGGATCGCCCTCTATTTTTCAACCAAAACAATCAAAAAAGACACCTATGGGCACCCCCTCGAATCCGCCCACAGTTGCACGAAGCAGGACTACGTCTGCCAGGGCCCTGGAGCCTTTATGCTACACAAAAGCTGGCAAAAAAGATCGGCACAGGAGCGTGCGATCGAACTTGAGGCTCCGGCTTCGCCCTTGGTACAAAGGAGGACGCCGGGCATGTGATCCGAAAGGGTGGATGCTGCACCTCAGCCCCCCCAAAAGTCCAAGCTTTTGGGCGTGTGAATGATGAAAAAGGTAGACCTTGAGCAGCCCTCCAAAGCATGCCCAAACCGCCCTATGACGTGCCGAAGCCGTGTTCTCGGGGAAAACGTCGCATGGCTGAAATGGAGAACTCTCTGTGAACCTCGCCATGCCTCACAAAACCACACTTAAGGAAGCGTAAGCTGCCCTTGACCAAGGCACAAATCTCCTGAATAGCACCCTTGCCCAGGTCATTCAAGATCTCCAGCTTCTGTAAGTGATGCCACACCAGCATGCTCTGCACTTCATGCTTCAGTACCTCAGCTTCTGCCGGCCTGTTCCAAACTTGGGGAGGTCGGGGCATGAACAGGTGCTGGGGTGCTGGACAGTTTCCGCGCTGCGCGGCGTGCGCACGAAACTTTCTGAACCCTGCACCGGCTCACACACACACACACACTTAAACTCCAGATGGAGGGTGCTAATCTTTCGAGTACAACTGATGAGTCTCGAGTACAACTGATGAGTCTCGAGTGGGTGTAGGTTCGGCTTGCAGTCACTTGGCTTCCGTTTAGCAGCGAAAACGTTGCAAAATCAACATGAAGCACATACAGCGAGAGAAACAACGGGCCAAAAGGACTTTGCATCACACGAAATGCACAGGTACGTCGAGGTGATCAGCCTCGATATCACAGGACAAGTGCGGCGTCCTCGTTGGATGCCGACCGCACAGGTCCCCAGCATCCCCCTGCGGTAATAGTGAAAGCCTGATGTTGGTGGCAGGGTATTCTGCCACTCCGCACACACACGCTTCTCAAAGAGGGGCGAGTACCACTTTTTCGGGGAGATAAAAAACACGCGCCCCATAACCGGGCGCAGACCCCAACAAAAAACAAACGGAGCAAGGGAGCCCAAAAGAAACAGAAAGGCCCCAGGTTGGGTCACCGCGGGCAAAACCCCAAACAAGAAACAAGAACAATGGGGAAGCCAGGTTTCGGGTCTCCGAGGGCAACAACCCCAAACAGCGCAAAAACGACCTAGACCTTGTAGACGAAAGGGGCCGCGAAGGCAAAGAGGCAGAAGAGGAACAGGCCATCCCTAACCGGGCGAACAGGAAGTACAAGAGATAGCCCAGAGAGGGAAAGAAAAGAAAAGAAAGAAAGGAAAGGGACGAAAGAGAGAAAGAAAGAGAGAGAGAGAGACAGAAAGAGAGAGAGAGAGAGAGAGAGAGAGAGAGAGACAAAAGCGTATTTAGGGCGTCGCAACCGCCCGGGGGGAAAAGAAAGGAGCAGGGTGCGTATTTAGGGCGCCGCATCCCGCCCGGGAAGAAGGAACAAGAAGCAGAAGGCAAGGAGACAAAAAGGAGAAAAGAAGGAAGAAGGAAGAAGGAAGAGGAAGAGGGAAGTAGTAGTATGCGTTTTTAGGGCGACGCATCCCGCCCAGACAGGAACAGAGGATGAAGACCAAGGCTCGCGGAGGAAGACGTCGAATCCCACACAGGGGCCAAGAGGACGGACACGAAGTAGCAACGGAAGGGGAAGAAGACGTCAAGCCAAACTACGTGAGGAAGAAGAGGAGTAGGAACAGGAAGACAGACACGAAGACGAAGACGAGGAAAAAGGTGAACAACGCGAGGACAACCAGGCCATCCCTAAGCGGGCGAACAGGAGGGGGACGAACGCGCGGGTCACGAAAGGCAGCAAAAAGAGAACGGGAGGAAGGAGAAGCCATCCCTAGGCGGGCGAAGAACCAGAAGACGGGCACGCGGATGAAGAAGGCGAGAAGAAAGAACGTAGGGTGAGACGTAGCTATGATCTGTGCTGTCTTCCCTTTAGTGAAACCTCGTTCCTGATTAAATCTGAATTCCGCTGTTCTATGATAAGCACGTTGAGGTCAAATTTTCCGACAGAGCCGGCCCGGGGTCACACAATGGGTACACCCGAGGATTCCCCACGAATGGGGTGTACACACTTAAACTCCAGATGGAGGGCGCTAATCTTTCGAGTACAACTGATGAGTCTCGAGTACAACTGATGAGTCTCGAGTGGGCGTAGGTTCGGCTTGCAGTCACTTGGCTTCCGTTTAGCAGCGAAAACGTTACAAAATCAACATGAAGCACATACAGCGAGAGAAACAACGGGCCAAAAGGACTTTGCATCACACGAAATGCACAGGTACGTCGAGGTGATCAGCCTCGATATCACAGGACAAGTGCGGCGTCTTCGTTGGATGCCGACCGCACAGGTCCCCAGCATCCCCCTGCGGTAAAAGTGAAAGCCTGAAGTTGGTGCAGGGTATTCTGTCACTCCGCACACACACACACACCACACACACACACACACACACACACACACACACACACACACACACACACACACACACACACACACACACACACACACACACACACACACACACACACACACACACACACACACACACACACACACACACACACACACACACACACACACACACACACACACGCCCACGCCCACGCCCACACCCACACCCACACCCACACACACACACACACACACACCCACACACACACACACCCACACACACACACACAAATCTTCGGACTTTGTAAGGCACAGGGTTCTACACCCAAGACTTTCCCCAACCTCACTCTCGCACCTTTCTTTTCTTTGGGCCAAGATCGGAACATACTTCACACAAGCGCGAATCAGGACTTCAATCGGGACCTGCCTCCGGCAGCTTCTCCATTAGGTTGGTCTCCTTGGGGCCGGGGGAGGGGGGGGGGGGGGAGTGGGCGCAAAAAACCTCCCCACACATTTGGCAAAGCAAATGGCTGTGGGTCAAAGATAGGTACCCCAAATGGGTTACCCTGGCAAATGGACAGGACTAAAACCTGCGGCCCCCTGGTCGTTTTATTTGACCCATACCCAAATCATGAGTACTTCAATCTATCCAAGGGCTTCTCAGTTCTTGCCGACATTCATTCCACATGCATGAAAGCACATGTAAGCACCCAAAACCCAGGAACTCCTGGGTTTACCAACATGGTAGGAAAATATGTGCACCTATTGTTCCGCCCATCTTGAGCAACTACCATGCCCAACAAAAAAAAACAAAGGTTTCTTTAAAAAAAACAAAACAAAACTGTTTTTGTGCATGTGTATATATATATATATCTATTAATAAAGAACACACGTTTGAGCTTCCACGGTCGCTCTCACTTGTCCATTTTTCCGGTGACTCCGATTTTTTCCCTTCCGCTCCTTGGCCATGATCCTCCGGCGCTCGAAGAGGTGCGCCAGGAACTTCTTCACCCGCTGCTCCAGGGGCTTCTGGGCCCCGAAGCGGTTCATGTACCTCGCAGAGGCCGGGCCGGGCAGAGGGGCGCCGGACCCCAGGCCGGAGCTCGGAATCCCCGGGTAACCTGCGGAGGGCGTTTTGGGACGCTCCGGCGGCCGTTTTTTTTTGGGGGGGATTTCCGAGGGGGTCGAGGAGGTTGTTGTTGTTGTTTTTTGTTTTTTGTTTTTTTTTTTGGGGGGGGGGGGGCTGGGAATGAAAGGGGCCGTGTAAAGGCGCTGGAAACACACGGCAAAAGAATCATGACACAGGCGCCAACCACATCCTTACGCGAGGACCCAGGGCGCATTCGCACGAAGAACAGCTCGTCGTTGAAGGTGCGACCACGCTCGAAAATCTTGAAGTAGGCCTGCAATGCAATGTCTGCAAGGCTTCCTTTCATCACGCTCGCCCTGGGACTGTAACTTCTTCCGTTTTCTTGCTGCTTTGCACCTTCTCACGTGCATCTACGTGCATCTGAGTGTGTGTGTGTGTGTGCTATGGCGATTGGTCGGCCAGCTGAGACAAATGGCCATGGGTCAAAATCCAAATCCGTACCCCCAGTGAACATCCGATTCAATCCAACCACTAAAATAGGTTCTAAAATGGGTGGTGAATTCACCGAAAGCCAACCAACATGGGATATCTGTTTTGACAACCACTGCCAAATGGCCCCAGCTCCGCGGCTTCTGCCTCAGCGCCTGGGCCACTAGCTGACCTGCCTGCGTCAGCGATGCCACAGAGACAGCGAACGCTGAGAGCGCGAAAAACATGAACAGCAGCACAAAGATGCGCTCTGGGAAGTTCACCTGAGCGATTTGTTTTATATATATTTCGGATGCCTCGCGTCTCGCATGTTTTTGGGGGATGTGCTTGAACAAATCTCAACACCGGGCAAGGCTGCAGAGCCGAAGCTAGAAAAACAATGAAGTCGTGTTACTATATTCATTCATGAGCATTCTACCGGCCGCATGCTTCACGTGAAGCAAACAGCAGTGAACCAGCCAGCTGAGGGTTCTTCCAGGAATTTCCAGGATTGCAACCTGCCAAAAGCATGGCCCTGTGCGTAGCCCGGAAGCAAAGTCGCGGGATCGGCTGCTCAAGAATCCGCCTTGCGAAAGGCAAATGCATCGAAGGCTTTCGCGGAAACTTTTCGAGGCGGCCCATATCAATCAGTCGCAGGGCTGCCCATGGCAAAAAAAAGAGATCAGCGCTGAGCAAAACTGGAGCTTTTTCAACCCTCCTGCCCCGCAGCAAGCAAGCACCTTGAAGTGAAACAGCAATCATTAGCTGAGGGATGATAGGCGCACTTTACAGATTCGACGCCTTTCCCTCTGCCCTTTCCCATCCTGGAAGATTCTCTGGGCCAGGGCGCTGGGGTGACTTCGGCCGGCATGGTACGCATCACGCCCAGCGTCCAGTAGAAGCAAAAAATGTACTGCTCCGGAAGCGGCTTTTGCTCGTAGGACCACTCGCCTGCCCAAATGCGTCGATGGATGGATTTGTCACCAACTCACAGGCAGCAACGGCATGCCTTAACCGGTTTTGAGGGCGTGGCTCAGGTTATTTCGCGAGCCTTCTGCCTGAAAGGTGCTTTGACAAAGGGACCAGGGGTTATTTTACATGCCCTGTCTGCCTTGACGAGCCTTCGCCCTCGACGAAGGCTTACTTTTTTGAGCATGTGGCGAGGTTACCTGAGTTCATTTTACACGCCTTGGTTATTTCGCGAGCCTTCAAGTGCCTGAAAGGTGCTGGGACAAAGTGACCAGGTTATTCTTCGCCCAGTCATTTCCGCGAGCCTTTTGCCTTGATCAGGTCAAATCCCCAAACCAACCCTAAGGGTTACCTGCCTAAATCGCCAGTTGCCGTTTTTTTCGCCATCCGCTTTGCCCCCACAAACCAAACACCAACAACAGAGACCGAAAAAAGCGATCGCAACTTGGCCATCTAGGTGAGTTCATTTCGCGCCCAGTCATTTCCGCGAGCCTTTTGCCATAGGTGTCCTTTTAGGGGAAATAAATGGCCCTGGTAGATGATTCAACCACCAGGTAAAGCAGGGATCGCCCTCTATTTTTCTGCCAAAACAACCATAAAGGACACCTATGGCATTTGCCTTGATCAAATCCAATCCCCAACTGAGTCACAATCAAAACCCGGTTGTAAACTGGTCTACCCAGAACCATGCTTCAAGAATTTAGAAGCCGGATCTCACCTCTTTCTGGCATCGTTTTTTTTGCCAACCGGATCATCAATCCCCGAATCGGTGATCTGAGCGAAGGCGTGGCTCAACTCAGCGCCTAAGCTCACTTGCCCAAAAGACCAGGAAATACAAGGTTAACCCTTTGGGACCTTTACTAAAAATGGGAACCCAAAATTGGAAAACCAAAAAGTCATTTCAGGTCGATTCGCTTTGGGCAAGTGAGTCAGGCGCCAGCTCCCTCCCGCGCCTTGATCCGGCCCATCTCGCCGGCTCAAAGTGGTCCAGTGCGGCATTTGCTGGAACTTCTCCGCGCTGTCGCCGGGCAGCAGGTCCGTGAGCAGACTCTCCGGGCGCCCGATGACCCAAAAGAGGCAGGCGCTCCAGTGACACATGGCCACCACGAAGAAAAGCACCTGCCATGAAAATCGACTTCCATCTTGGGTGCTGTAGATCCCCCAGCAAAAAGCTTAACTTGTTGCTGGTTAAAAGGAAATATGAGGGGAATCCATTTGCTTTTTCGCCCCCGGGAAAAAAAAGAAGTGTCCAGTAGTGATAGATTCCCTTTAAAACCAACGAGGGAAAATCAAGGATATTCTTAAGCAAATGGAGGTAAGTTAGCCATGGTCGTTGCGTTCCTAAGGGAAAAAGGGCATCAACCCCCACATAGCCAAATGGAAAAAAATCGGCTCAAATGAGCCATGGTCAAAACTCCCATGGCCGATTGTGGCTCTTGAGCCATAGGCCACTAGGACTGCACATGGAATCCAGGAAACGGGTTGCTTTGTTTGCGGATTGCACATGGCCACTAGGAATCGGTTTGGAGGTGTCTTTTTCTGGACTCATTTCTGTGGGATATATGAAGGAGTACTCAGAGAGTACTAAAAAGGAAACTACAGGTGGGAAGAACAGGTGAAATCCACAAAAAGCTGATCCAAATGTGGCATGGTCAAAATGCCTCATAATGGCCTTGCAAAGGAAAAGGAATCAGCATACTTGTTGTTTTTTCCCTTTTTTTTTCTCGGATCCTAACCAGGTCGATGACCATCCCTGACCCCAAGTAAAGGAACCGGTCTTTTGAGCATAAATGGGTATGGGTCAAAATTAAACCAGCACGTGGACCGCAGGCCTTAGTTCGTGTCTCCATATAAAGGTTCCATCTTGGGTACCTATTTTTCAAACGCTTACCAGGCTGACTGGAAATATGCTTGTACATGCTTAGAGCTGGGCGGCAGAGGCAAAGACGCAAAAGCACAACTGGCTCGCATGATGATAACGTAGAGATGATTTCGATGCGAAGAAAACTGGACCACTTTGGCTAGCCACATGTTTTGATATGTGTTTTATTACTATTTAACAGGGATCCTTACATTATACACCTGAACATTGCCATGTAAATGATGGTTTCTCTTTATTTTGGTGGAAAAAGCCATGTTTCAAATGGGCAAAATGTATCTTTTAATGAGCCCTGTTTAGGTGAGGCACTTTCATCAGCATGATGCTCTGAATGATGGCAATGGAGCCGATCCGAATCTCCAATCGCTCCCAGACCGCGCGGAGCTTGGACATGCGCAGCATCCGCATCAGCCGCATGATTCGCAGGAACTTCAGCATCTTGAGCAACCTCAGGAAAAAGAACGAGGTCAAAGAAGTGTCTGGAAAAAAAAGACCCTTCCTCCCCACTCACATGGCACCTGTGGGTGCCCTCCTTGTCAGGTGCCATTCCAGGGGTTGATTCCTTGTCCATTCTTTCCAATCATCGTTATTTTATCAAAAACCGGATCCGTTTCCCCTCAGTTTCTGACAATCAAGATGTCCCATCCCAGGCGAAAAAAACATGTGGCCCACCCACCCGCCCATTTCCCCAGACCCGGCCTCACAGCACCTGCAGAGCTTCCGTCGCCAAAGGTTTCGGCCAGGCGTCCGTACGGAATTGTGCTGAAGAAGTCGATGGAGAACCTCGGTTCTCAACGTTCCTTCTTGGTGGTTTGGAGCCCGGGGGGACCCTAGTCGGGCTGTTTGGTGGTTTGGAGCCTGGTAGGGGGGACCCTAGTCGGCCTGTTTGCTGGTTTGGAGCTTGGTGGGGGTGACCCTGTTTACCCTGTTTCTTGGTTCCAATTTCCTCTAGTCGGGTTTTATTCAACGGGAAAAACAGGAGCAGGCTTGTCCAAATACAAGGGTCTCAAGCTAAGCCTGCACATAGCTAAGCCTCCCTCGTTGCTTGGTGGTTTGGAGCGTGGTTTAGCTGCTTTGGATTACCCTACCAATGAAATCAGCCGGAACCACCTTCGGGATCCGATCCCTCTAAAAGGAAAATGGTTCCAACCAGGACCCCCCCCTGTTTGGTCAGGCTCCATGTTTATTTGGAGACTAGGGGTTGTGTCCCATGCATCCTCTACAAGAACCACCAGTTAAGGGCTGCCTCTTCAGTTGCCCAAAGGCCCCAGAAACAAATCTCAAACAAACAAAAAACACAAAACCCACACGTACCTGCCCTTCACTAGGGAACCCAAAAAAGGTGAAAAGCTCGGCTTTAGACAAAGGAGCCAGCCGAGCAAGTAGTTCTTGGCAATGCGGAGTCTGGAGAGTATCCACGTGCCAGGCTGCGAGGGGTTCTCGATGGCAGTGTTAAAGGAGAAGAGGACATCCGTGAAGAAGACCACGGTGGTAATCCAAAACCAAACTTCATCAAAAGCATCCTCCGGCATGCCATGCTTGAATGAAAGCTGGAATGGCAGAATGATGGAGTCCGTGACCACCAGGAACATGACGGCGAAATCCCAGGTCATTTTGCCGGTCCAGTTTGGATTGAAGAGGTGATTCTCGACCTGAGACGGAGCAACGCTCGCAATGTTCCGAACTTGATTGAAAACAAAAACAAGCCGACAAAAGACTCCAGGCGCATCTGTTTTTTCGGGAAAAAACGAAAAAAAATCCCCGAAAGGCCGGCCGTCATCTTCATTTTCTCGGGAAAAAAAAGGGGGAAACACATCCCCGCCAGATCGGGCCGCGTTTAAAGGCATCTTTTGGCGAGCCGCTTCCGGCAGGTCCTCGAACTCGTCGGGCTCCGGCATCTTCCCCCAGGCCCCCGGCACGCGGCTGGACTCCGTGGGGCGCTCCGCGATGGGCGGCAGCTCCTTGTCGGAGCGGCTGGAGGCGTGGCTCACCACGGCCAGCCGCGAGCCGCCCGGCCGATCCGAGGCGTGGCGATCAGAGGCGTAGGGCCCCACGTCCTCGTTGTCGATGCCGTCGAAGGGCAGCTCCTTGGGGGGAAAAAGGGGGAGAAGTCGCGCCGGCGCCGGGGGGGTGGACAGAAGGGCGTTGCAGCAACCGTCTCTTCCTTCTAGTGTTTTTGTGTGTTTTCGTTGTCGTTGTTTTCTTTTCTTCTTGCTAGCCTCTTCGACATCGCCGGGAGCCTAATCACAATCCGTAATCAGCTTAATCCGCCTTTTGGCTGGTAAACCCCTAATCCGTAATCCGCGCGGTTTATCGGTTCATCGCCAGACAAAGCCTCATACCAGTACCAGGCATCCACAACTCCATCCTGGAAACGTGACCGCACTGGGGCCCTTTCACGTGCCCTAGTGTCATTTTCGGGCTGCCGAGCGTGTTGTTCTAGTGAAACACCCCTTAAAAAGCTGAAAAGCAGTTCCCTCACAATGTAGTGGTAGGACGCCAAAACGGTCTAATCCGTAAACCGCGCAATCCGTAATCCGCTAATCATTGGGGATTAGGCTTGGGGCAAACTAGCTTGTGTGTGTGCGTTGGTTGTTGCTTTGCTTTTTGTCTATTCTTTTGCCCCACCCGCCAGGAAGGGGTTGTTAGACTTTACGGTGGAATCCGCGTTTGCGATGCTTCTGCACCACGCCCCCACCCAGTATCCCGCCAGAGCAGCTCGCCAGTGGATCCCGCCAAGTATTTCGCCAGAGCTGCTCGCCAGTGGATCCCGCCGAGTATCCCGCCAGAGCGGCTCGCCAATCCCGCCGAGTATCCCGCCAGAGCGGCTCGCTAGTGGATCCCGCCGAGCATCCCGCCGAGTATCCCAGAGTAGCTCGCCAGTGGATCCCGCCGAGTATCCCGCCAGACAGAGTAGCTTGCCAGTGGATCCCGCCAAGTATCCCACCACAGCAGCCCGCCAGTGGATCCCCCGCCGAGTATCCCACCGAGTGTCCCAGAGTCGCTGAGTATCCCTTGCCGGTGGATCCTGCTGAGTATCCGGCCAGTATCGAGCCGGAGCGGCTTGCCAGTATTCGCCAGTGGATCCCGCCAGTATCCCGCCAGAGCAGCTCGCCAGTCTGGTTTTGCTTCATGCCCCGCCCGGCGCACACTTGGGTTTACATTTCATGTTGGTGCTTTCGTGTTTTGAGTGTGCCCTGAGGCTCGGAAAGGGTGATGCTTTTGTGTTGCTTTGGGCTGTGAATAAGCAACTTCGTTTAATCCTCCGTCGGGTTTCTTTTTGGAAGAGGCTTGGCTTTTGTTAACGGGGCCGATGTTTGAGTTCTCGAGATCCGCTCGCAGACAAGTGGAGTTTGACACACAGACAGGTGAATAAGGCTCTCAATGCAAAGCTTGTCGAGCTAGCCGATGGGAATTTGGAGTCGAAGTCTCTAGGATGCGGAGGAATTTGTTGTCACGGTCGTAAGCTCGTGAGTGTGGAGGGTGGGGATTGCTCGAAGCGAAGTAATTGTGTATAGTTCATTGTTTGTGTTTGGTTTTAAGTTGTTTTTAGTGTTTCTTTTGTGTGTGCGTGTGTATTTTTCTTGTGTGTTTGTTTTAAAAAACTACCAGTAAAGTCCATCAGGGTCAGGGGAGGAAGTTTCGAACACATAAAAGCCACATGTTGCAGAACGTGCTCCAGCGAATGCGAACACGCGTTGTTCTCCTTTCGCTTCAAGTGTGCGCAGCTAGATTTCTTTTCGCGAAGCTCAGCCAGCCAGCGAGAGAAGTGGCTAGCTGGATACTTGGTTGACGTTGGGTTAGGGCCGTTAGGGGATCAAACATTTAAGTGTTAGCAGTTAAGTGCTTGGATTTCAACCACTAAACCACAATAAAATGTAAAATGTAAAATGAAAAAATCCGCCGACAACAGACGGCGTGTTGGACACAAAAAATGCTCCTTACCTCTTTACCTGTTACCCCTCCCCTAACCCCTCCCCGAAGACGCTTCACTAAATCTGTTCATTGTGCGGGCTTGCGCAACTCAGTTTGTCAAAAACATTGGGGTGTTCGATTCCCTCCGGGTGCGCTGTCGCATCCTAGCAGCTCCAGCGGCACATCGCCAGCATCACCTGCATCATCCGCATCAGCGCCTGCCAAGGATGCGGATGATGCAAGTGATGCTGGGGATGTTGCCCATGCTGGTGAAGGAAATGAAGGGGGGAAAGGGGGAAAGGATCTCAACAGCGAAAGGGGGGGGAAAGATCTCAGGGAGGAAAGGGAGAAGATCTGGGGAAAAAATGCCTTAAGGGGGAAAGGGGGGAAAAGATCTTTGGGAGGAAAAGGGAAATCTTTCTCGGGGGGAACAGGCCCTAAGGGGCAATGGGGGGACAGGATCTCAAACGGGAAAGGGGGAAAAAGACTTTGGGAAGAGAAGGGTGGAGATCTTGGGGGGAAAAGGCCTTAGGGGGGAAACGGGGGAAAGGATCTTAAGCGGGAAAGGGGGGAAAAGATCTTAGGGAGGCAAAGGGAGACGAACTCAGGGAAAAGGACTTAGGGAGGAAAGGGGGGGAAAGATCTTTGGGAGGAAAAGGGAGAAGAACTGAGGGTGGGAAAAGGCCTTAGAAGGAAAAGGGGGGAAATAAATGATCTCAACAGGGAACTGGGGGGGGGGGGGAGATCTTAGGGAGGAAAGGCAGAAGATCTGGGGCAAAAAGGCCTTAGGGGGGAAAGGGGAGAAATGATCTCAACAGGGAAAGGGGTGGAAAAGATCTTAGGGAGGAAAGGGAGAAGATCTGGGGAAAAAAGGCCAACAGGGAAAGGGGGGAAAAGATCTCTCAGGGGGGGAAAGGCCTTGGGAGGGAAAGGGGGGAAAGGATCTCAACAGGGAAAGGGTGGGAAAGATCTTAGGGAGGAAAGGGGGGGGAAGATCTTAGGGAGGAAAGGGAGAAGATCTGGGAGAAAAGGACTTAGGGGGGAAAGCCCAACAGGGAAAGGGGGGAAAAGATTTAGGAAGGAAAAGGGAGAAGCTCTCAGGGGGGGGAAAGGCCTTAGGGGGGAAAGGGGGAAAAGGATCTCAGCAGGGAAAGGGGGGGGGGGAAAGATCTTAGGGAGGAAAGGGAGAAGATCTGGGGACAAAGGCCTTAGGGGGGAAAGGGGAGAAATGATCTCAACAGGGAAAGGGGTGGAAAAGATCTTAGGGAGGAAAGGGAGAAGATCTGGGGAAAAAAGGCCAACAGGGAAAGGGGGGAAAGATCTAAGGAAGGAAAAGGGAGAAGCTCTCAGGGGGGGGAAAGGCCTGAGGGGGGAAAGGGTGGGAAGGATCTCAACAGGGAAAGGGGGGAAACAATCTTAGGAAGGAAAAGGGAGAAGATCTGGAAAGGCCTTAAAGGGAAGGGGGGAAAGGATCTCAACAGGGAAAGGGGGCAAAGGATCTTAAGGAGGAATAGGAAGAAGATCTCAGCGGGGGGAAAGGCCGTAGGGGGGAAAGGGGGGAAAGGATCTCAACAGGGAAAGGGGGGGAAAGATCTCAGTGAGGAAAGGGAGAAGGTCCCAGGCAGGGAAAAGGCCTTAGGGGGGAAAGGGGGAAAGGATCTCAACAGGGAAAGGGGGCAAAGGATCTTAGGGAGGAAAAGGGAGAAGATCTGAAAAGGCCTTAGGGGGAAAAGGGGGAAAGGAGCTCAACAGGGAAAGGTGGGAGAAGATCCTAGGGAGGAAAAGGGAGAAGATCTCGGGGGGAAAGGGGGAAAGGATCTCAACCAAGGGAAAAGATCTTGGGGAGGACAAGGGAGAAGATCTCAGGGGGGGAAAGGCCTTAGGGGGGAAAGGGGGGAAAGGATCTCAACAGGGAAAGGGGGCAAAGGATCTTAGGGAGGAAAAGGGAGAAGATCTTGGGGGGGAAAACGCCTTAGGGGGGAAAGGGCGGGAAAGGATCTCAACAAGGAAAGGGGGAAAAGATCTTAGGAAGGAAAAGGGGGAAGATCGCAGGGGGAAAAAAGGCCTTAGGGGGGAAAGGAGGGAAAGGATCTCAACAGGGAGAGGGGGGAAAACATCGTAGGGAGGAAAAGGGAAAACTCAGAGGGAGAAAGGGCCTTAGGGGGGAAAGGGGGAATGGATCTCAACAGGGAAAAATGGCAAAAGATCTTAGGGAGGAAAAGGGAGAAGATCTCAGGGGGGGAAAGGCCTTAGGGGGGAAAGGGGGGAAAGGATCTGAGCAGGGAAAGGGGGGGAAAGATCTTAGGGAGGAAAGGGAGAAGATCTGGGGGCAAAGGCCTTAGGGGGGAAAGGGGAGAAATGATCTCAACAGGGAAAGGGGTGGAAAAGATCTTAGGGAGGAAAGGGAGAAGATCTGGGGAAAAAAAGGCCAACAGGGACAGGGGGGAAAGATCTAAGGAAGGAGAAGCTCTCAGGGGGGGAAAGGCCTCAGGGGGAAAGGGTGGGAAGGATCTCAACAGGGAAAGGGGGGAAACAATCTTAGGAAGGAAAGGGGGGGGGAAGATCTTAGGGAGGAAAGGGAGAAGATCTGGGAGAAAAGGACTTAGGGGGGAAAGCCCAACAGGGAAAGGGGGGAAAAGATCTTAGGAAGGAAAAGGGAGAAGCTCTCAGGGGGGGGAAAGGCCTTGGGAGGGAAAGGGGGGAAAGGATCTCAACAGGGAAAGGGTGGGAAAGATCTTAGGGAGGAAAGGGGGGGGGGGAAGATCTTAGGGAGGAAGGGAGAAGATCTGGGAGAAAAGGACTTAGGGGGGAAAGCCCAACAGGGAAAGGGAGGAAAAGATCTTCGGAAGGAAAAGGGAGAAGCTCTCAGGGGGGGGAAAGGCCTTAGGGGGGAAAGGGGGGAAAGGATCTCAGCAGGGAAAGGGGGGGGGGGAAGATCTTAGGGAGGAAAGGGAGAAGATCTGGGGACAAAGGCCTTAGAGGGGAAAGGGGAGAAATGATCTCAACAGGGAAGGGGTGGAAAAGATCTTAGGGAGGAAAGGGAGAAGATCTGGGGGAAAAAAGAACAACAGGAAAAGGGGTGAAAGATCTAAGGAAGGAACAGGGAGAAGCTCTCAGGGGGGAAAGGCCTTAGGCGGGAAAGGGTGGGAAGGATCTCAACAGGGAAAGGGGGGAAACAATCTTAGGAAGGAAAAGGGAGAAGATCTGGAAAGGCCTTACAGGGAAGGGGGGAAAGGACCTCAACAGGGAAAGGGGGGGGCAAAGGATCTTAGGGAGGAAAAGGGAGAAGATCTTGGGAGGGAAAACGCCTTAGGGGGGAAAGGGCGGGAAAGGATCTCAACAAGGAAAGGGGGGAAAAGATCTTAGGAAGGAAAAGGGGGAAGATCGCGGGGGGAAAAAAGGAAAGGATCTCAACAGGGAGAGGGGGGAAAACATCGTAGGGAGGAAAAGGGAAAAACTCAGAGGGAGAAAGGGCCTTAGGGGGGAAAGGGGGAATGGATCTCAACAGGGAAAGGTGGCAAAAGATCTTAGGGAGGAAAAGGGAGAAGATCTGGGGGCAAAGGCCGTAGAGGGGAAAGGGGAGAAATGATCTCAACAGGGAAAGGGGTGGAAAAGATCTTAGGGAGGAAAGGGAGAAGATCTGAGAGAAAAAGGCCAACAGGGAAAGGGGGGAAAGATCTAAGGAAGGAAAAGGGAGAAGCTCTCAGGGGGGGGAAAGGCCTGAGGGGGGAAAGGGTGGGAAGGATCTCAACAGGGAAAGGCGGGAAACAATCTTAGGAAGGAAAAGGGAGAAGATCTGGAAAGGCCTTAAAGGGAAGGGGGGAAAGGATCTCAACAGGGAAAGGGGGCAAAGCTTAAGGAGGAATAGGGAGAAGATCTCAGCGGGGGGAAAGGCCGTAGGGGGGAAAGGGGGGAAAGGATCTCAACAGGGAAAGGGGGGGAAAGATCTCAGGGAGGAAAGGAAAAAGATCCCAGGGAGGAAAAGGTAGGGGGGGAAGTGGGGGAAAGGGAGGAAAAGGGAGAAGATCTCAGGGGGGAAAAGGCCTTAGGGGGGAAAGGGGGGAAAGGATCTCAACAGGGAGAGGGGGGAAAACATCTTAGGGAGGAAAAGGGAAAAATCAGAGGGAGACAAGGCCTTAGGGCGGAAAGGGGGAATGGATCTCAACAAAGAAAGGGGGGCAAAAATCTCAGAGGGGAAGGGGGCAAGGGGACAATTCCAAAGGGACGCAAATAAGAAAGCAGGCCTGTAATGTCGGCGGCCTGAGCCGGAGGCGTTAAAATATAAAACCACATCGTAAAATGTGTCTAAACCACTAAACCACAAATTCCGCAAAAATATGCAAAATGTTTCCCAACAACCACCATGGATACCCTACGAGTCCGCGAAGCTTTGCCAATTGAAATCCAACCTAAGCAACTTCGTCACGGAGCGCCCGGGCCCTCGGGCGCTAACCGCTCTTTTTTTCTCCCCCGCCAGAAGTGTTCAACTTGCGGGGTTCGATGGAAACTCCCACCAAACCAAACAAAAACGCTGGGCGCCCAAAAGACGCCTCGAAAAACGAAAAAAGAAAAAGACAACTCGCCGGGCACCCCCAAAAACAAAGGACTAAAACAAAAAGATCGCTTGGCACCCAAAAAAAACGCCGTTCGCCTCACCTCGCGACCCCCGGCTCTCCTCCTGCGCCTCCTCCGTGCCCTGCCACTCCGGCAGCTCCGCGCCCGCCGCGCCCGCGCCGCCGGCGCCGGCGCCCAGCGGGCTGGGCGCCGCGCAGATGGGGTGCCAGCAGGACTCCGCCGCAGCGCTTTGCGCCGTCGGCTCCACGGGAAGGGGCGTGTGCCAGGAGGGCCTGCGGGTCGTTCGCGCGTGCCCAGAAGGAATGCCGTGCTTGTGCTTGTTTGGTTTGTTTGATGGTTTTTGGCGGGAAGGGAGCAACTTTGGGGATCTTCTTTTCTTTTCTTGCTTTTGTTTTTTGTTTTTTTTTGGGGGGGAGGGGCAAGGGAGCCATTCGCCAAGAAGTTGTCAAACATTGTCTTCGGGCGAAGGGAGCAAATGAGGCTCTTGCAAAAAGAGGTGTGTGTGTGTGTTGTTGTTTTTTTGGAAAGGAGCCGAAGATAGCCAAAGGGGGCTTTTTCTTCCCCGCCCGTCCCAAAATATGTATTTATTTTTGGCGTCCCAAAGAAAAGAAACACATGTATCATGGGGCTAAAGTGAGACAGCCGTGCTGGTTGGGAGTCTCAGTTGTTCAGTGACCGGAAAAAACGGGAACCCTTTTTGGGGAAGACCATTTTTAGTGGGGCAGCCACGAGGAATAAAAAAACAGAAAACAGAAAAGAGAAAAATGGTGCCACTGAACACTGAGGAGTTTGTGCCCTTTTGCCGGATTGATCCGTCCGAAGCCCGTGCATCCCACGCCTGGAAGGAGACGATGAGGGTATCGCCGCGAAAGTCGAAGCGACGGATGGGCGAGTCGAAGCTACGGATGAGCGAGCTGCCGGAAAAGACGAAGGCGGCCCCTGACCGTAGCTTTGGCTGTTGGCTTTTGGCTTCAGCCCAGCGACCCCCCCCAAAAAAGCCCTGAAATTTCTCGGACTGGCGTTCTGTTTTTTTTTGCGTCCAATCTGAAATCAACCTTGGGGGGAACCCTCGGACCAAAGCCCATCGGTAGCCCTGCCTGGAACTGAGCGACCAAGTGTCTGCCTAAGCGTCATTTGCTCTAGAGGGGGAGGGGGGGGGGGGCTCCTTCAAGGAGTGACCCGCCAAGAACCGCTCTCTCTGCCTGGTGTTCGAACTGAAATATCAACCCCCCCAAAAAAATAAATACAAAACATATTGCACGTGGTGACCACGCCCAGGTGAGGCATCAGAGCTTGCCTCAACTTCACGCGCAAGGCCCGTCTGGCGTGCGCACACGCCCTTGCGGCATGAGCTTGCACTGGGGTAGAAGTGCCAACCAGGCCGAGCACAGCAACATACTGCAACACACCACATGCTCTGAGTCAAAGCAAACAATGCGTCATTAACCTTCTTTTCAAGTCAACAAGAGAGTCAGTGAGTTCGTGTGTGCGTGAGTCAGCCAGGCATTCAGTCAGCCAGCCAGTGTCTAAACTTTCAGCCGAGCGGCTATGGACGCTTTGCTCAATCCTCAGCAAAAAGTGAGCTCAGAGTTCCAGGCTCGCGCTCAAGCACCCCGCGCGCAGCGACGCATACTGCATCCCAGCCGCTCTTGCTGCAGCCGACCCACACTGTGCTTCAAGATCTGTGTAGCTTTGCCTTGGATCAAACAGAGGCCCTCTCAGCTTCCTTCGGGCCCTTGGGAGGTGCCAAGGAGCCAGGCGGAAGGCGCTCCCGGGGTTGGATTGATTCGGGGTGTGGCTCGGGGTTGGGCTCAGAGGGTGCGTGATGAAACTCAGAGCTGCATTGGTCTCTCAATGAGGGGCTTCAAGATGGGCGGTTTCCCTTGGCTTTCCCTGCAAAACCATTCCAAGGGTACCCTCAAACAAATACACAGCCGTGTGACCCAAAGCCACAAATTGCGGCTAGATCACATCAACCAATGTCCAACAAATAATCCTGGCCATTTCCGCCAAGAAGAAAAGTGGCCGCGCAGTCTTGCAGAAGCGAGGGATGTTGGGCAGGCGGAATACGCAGCAGCAGCAGCAGCAGCAGCAGGAGGAAGTAGCAGAAGCAGCAGCAGCAGGAGGAAGTAGAAGCAGCAGTAGCAGCAGTAGCAGCAGTGGCAGCAGTAGCAGCAGTAGCAGCAGTAGCCGTAAACAGTAAGCAGTAAGCAGTAAGCAGCAAGCAGTAAGCAGTAAGCAGTAAGCAGTAAGCAGTAAGCAGTAAGCAGCAGTAGTAGTAGTCGGAGGTGACAGTAGGCGCATCGCAAAACTTGCAAAAGATCCCTACAAACAAGCACACTCAGTTCTCTTTCATAAGACCGCTGCAAAGTTCTCAAGCCTCTTTGCGAGGAGCCCAGCCAGACTGCTGCATTCAGGGGGTCGTGGCATGTAGTTGTCATGTGACTGGATGACTGCAAGCAACGCGTGGCTGGACGCTTCCCCGGGGGAGGTTCTACCAGTGGGGAAGGGGGGAAGGGTCCGACCTGTCAGCAAGGGGGGTCCAAGCTCGAACCCCCCAAACCTGCAGCATCGTTTTCAGCATCCCTGGCCCATAATTCAATCAATACCCCTGGCATCACGGATGGGCTGGTGGTTGAGGTCTTACAGTTGATTGAGGACGGGGTTCTGGGCTTCGGTGGGGCATTGCGTTCTTTGGGGTGGGGTTTGGTTGGACTAGGCTGGGTGTAGTGCTGCTTCAGGGCGGGTTTGGGATTAAGTCTGAGGTGTGCTTAGGGTGTTTGTGGGTTTGTTTGGGGTGTTTAATGATACGTAGGTTTGGCGTGGGTTTGGGGTTGGTGTTGGGCTGATTCAGGGTTGGTACTTGGGGTTTTTGTTTCGGGTTTTCAAAAGACAAACAACAACAAGGCAATTGCTGTTTCTGGCTAGCTGATTCTTGCGGTGGGAAAGCAACCCTAAGGGACCTGGAAACTTTGTAGCATTGGCAATAGGGCAGCCTTTGTCAGGGTAGGTTTCAGTGGGTGCAATTGGGGAAAAGGACTGCGCTTGCGTGGGGGAAGTAAGGGTCAACTCAGGGTGCGTCTGGGTCTGGCTTTGGATAGAGTAAATTTAAGGTAGGGCTGGAGCCGTGTGTGGGGTAGGCTTGGTGCGGGTGTACGTGCTGGCTTAGGGTGGGCTTGGGGTTGAGCAAGGGTTTCGCCGGTATTTTGAACATCCCAGAAGCCATCCGGAACTCTCCCTGAAAGCTGCTCCAAACCTCCCCAGAGCTTACCTGGGCACAGACCGAGCTGTTAGGGAAAAGAGCCTACACCCCCCCTCCCCCCCCTTCCTGCGCGTCTGGGCACTGATCCTGTCCGGCACGTCATCTTGTGACAACGCCCTTAGGTTGACATCCAAGATATCCAGGAGCGCAGTGATGCCCTGGGTGACCCCACCTGGACTGCGCGTTCAGGATGGTTTGTGGGAGGCGCAATCTATTTGTTTGGCCAGCAAAACTTGCTGCTCAGCAGGTTCTCAGACAAAATTATTCGTCACCACTTGAGCTTGCCACAGGATTGCTACAAGTATAATAGAACCTACGGATTAATACGGGTGTTGCCCAAAAAGTGAAGAACATCTGAAAATGAGATATCCCTCCACATAAATCAAAAGGGAATGAGGGAATGACCCTTATTAATAACTTATAAACCATCCCTTGTGGTTTGCTTCGAGGGGACCCCTGGGTTCATTCCCACATGTGTGACAGAGCACCAGCAAGAAAAAATGGGTTTGTGGGGGTTGGGGGTTCCCCCTGTTTTGACACGTACCCAATTGACCATTGAAATTTGCCCATGAAAGGTCAATGGAAGACTGAAAGCTCGAACGGTGAAGTTCTCGCTGACATGGGTGGCTTGTCCTTTTGTAGAAGGACCCCCAACTTGGTAGCTTTCCTTTGGCTTCCCTTTAAAACCACCATGGTAGAGGGTCCCATAACAAACAAATGCAAATGGCTTTGGGCTGGCCAAAGCCAAGTGCCGAAAGCTACGGACTGCCTGCAAAGTTCAGCACTGGAGCATCGTGGTTCATCGCCGACCTCGAGCGCGCAGCGCGCAGACCGAAACCCCCAACGGCCCAACGAAGTCCAAAAGCTCACAAATGACTGGCGGACCCATGATTTCTTCCGAAAGAAGGCAAATAGCGGGCGGTCTGGTGGCAGACCCAAGGCATGTTGAGCGCTTTTCAAGGCTCGGGCGGCCGGGGCCTGCTGGTGTTATTTCGAGAGGTCACAAAGAGTGGAAAGGGCTGATAGTATGTTCGAGGCTTTTGCGCGTCATGCTGTCTGCCCCGAAAGTAAGAAAATTGCATCTTTGCTCTTTTCCCTGCCTTGAAAGATGGCAATACTCGCTGCCTCACATCTCAAAATGGCAAACATGGCACCACATAGTTAGCATTGCCCTTTCCGTGGGGCGGGTGGCCCAACATCACGAAACTTCACCCTTCCGGAGCCCTGACTGTTGTTTCTTCCAGCTGGGAAATCGCCGGCACGCAAGTAAAAAAGAAACGCTCGCCCATTTTTGGGGGCCCTGGCTTTCAGGAGAATAAAGGAAAATGTGCTGGTACCAGGGTTGGGTGTGCATCATTTCCTACCAAACAAGAACCATACGAATGACATGTTTACTTCTTCACACGCCTCATGCAAAACCCACAGCCCATGCAATGAAATGCGATGCAAGCCGCGCCCATCCACAGTATCATGAGCAGTGACTTGGGCCAAGCTGCTGCAAATGCGATAGGCTATGCGGTGATCATCGAAGGCTAACAGCAAAGCACTTACCTTCGTACGGTGGATGGACGAAACCCTGCACCACTTTAGGACTCCGTCCATCCACTTGGTTTGGACCTCAGGGGTACCTTCCCATTTGGTTTCAAAAGGTGCTGAGTCGTGCTGAGGTTCAAATCCAAATCCAAACCACCAACCGAACGGGTTGCCTGATACATTGCCCCATGAAAACCCAAACCACGGCGGCGACGAACCACACCGATGGGGATGGCAGCAACCGCGACCACGACCACAGCGACAAGCAACGACCAACAACCAACAGTCCACCAAAACGCAGACTGCAGCGAGGAAAGCAAGCAAACTCAAGGTGATGTCGGCCATCCCGGCCGCATCTTTCAAGCGCAATCTAAGCCTTTCGACTTCATGCCCACCCACCCCTGCAGCCCTACCTAGTGGGCTTGGGTGCCTGGTCCTCAGTCCGTCGCACCCTCCGAGCGCCGCAAAATGACGGGCGCGAAGCGGCGGGGGGGACCCTCCTGGGGTATGCAAAGGTAGGTAGGTATGTACTTTTCGCCTGGGTGTCCCCTTTCACTAAAAATCCTTCACTTTTGTGGGCCACCCCCCCCTTTTACCGGACTGGTACTGACCCGAGCGTTTTTCCCGCGCATCGATAAGAACTCACTCACTCACTCACTCACTCACTCACTCACTCACTCACTCACTCACTCACCCACCCATCCATCCATCCATCCATCCACCCACCCAACTCACCCACCTCACCTTGCTCACCTCGCCTCGCCTCGCTTCACCTCACTCACCTGCAGGCATGCAGTGCAGGGCGTGTGCTGTTGAGCGAGTGCGCTCTGCCTGTGTCCTTTGCGGGAAAAAGGAATCCAATTCGGCACGAAACCTGCCGGTGTCTAGGCTCACTCAAAAGGTGTACCTTTTCGGGGGCCTCGCTTACAAGCGGCCTTGCTGGTGTCTCGCAACCTGCCCGTGTGTAGGCCCTTTTGCGGCTGCAGGCACGTGTTGTCTTGAGCGGGTGCGCTTATCCTGTGGCAGGCACCTGTGCAGCACTGAGCCGAGGCTCCTGCGTGCGCCCCAGCACTTTCAGGAAAAAACTCAAACATGAGAAACACTGCCGGGTCAGACCAGTCCGGCGCCTTGTCAGGCGTCCTGCTACCGCATGAGCCGAAACTCAATGTGTTCCCTGCCCATGGAATTCGCAAGTCGCGGCCTCAACTGGTTTGGAGCGACGCGTCAGTTGAGCCGGCGGCAGCCCAAGCGAAGAAGTCGCACTGCTGCTCCCGAGGCCTTCGCAGAAACGCCGGTTTTTGCCCATGTGAGTCATAATCGACACCTGGTACTAGAATTGACTGAATGGCCGCAATCCCAGAACCATGCAAAGGATTCAAAAGGCAGCTGCTCCCATTTAGGGTTGGGACTAGAGATCCCATACTAGCCTTCATCTACCCGGGCTTTCATTGTCGGGACGGAGTTTTTGGGACCCCCGTATCCTCTTCCCAAGCTCTTCCCTTGCAGCCCGCTGCCTGGGGCAAGCAAAGAAGTAGCGGCCCTTGTTGGGGCCTCACGCCAAGCCGGCCCGCACGGCAGCCAACAAAAAAATCCAGGCCCCGCCAAGCTTGCCACGTGGCACGTCTGTGACCATGTGGGTGCGTGGTCAAAATTGGGGGCCCATCAAAAAGGAGCATTCCTCTCAGCTTCCCTTTGCCCAAGCTTCGGGTATCGAAGAACAACACGGCACTCACTCACGCGCTCTCCCGTCACATGGGTTTCCTCCTCCGAGCCGAAGCATGCGATGTGAGACACGGCAACCCGACTCTCGTTCGAGGCCTTCTTTCTTGACCTCAACCTTCCGGCAGGGCTCCTGGTGCTGGCAGTTCGGCCTCGGGCCATCAGGCCAACCATTATCACGTGGGGAATTCAAAACGTGGCTTGGAAGGAGGTGCCTTGCTTTTGCACAAGCTTTGCGCCCATGATGCTCTGTTCAGAGGGACGCCGACTTGAAGTGGGGAATGAGCTGCTTTTGGCAGCAGGCAAGCAAGCAAGAAAGCTGGTCTGGCAAATCGATGCAAATGTGAAATGGCTCTCACGCATGAATCATGTTCGAGGCGTGTGGGCGCCGAGATGCTTGTGCAAAGACTACGTAACGGCACATGCGATGGCCCGAAACACAGACGGACACAACATCTGCGAGATGCAAGTCAACCCCAGGCCCTGCGAGGAAGGTCTTTCTTTTCACTAATCACTGAACAGCACAATATCCAACAATTGTGCATACGGTACACTCCAAAAACACACACACACACAAAAAGAAGAAGAAAAAAAAACAAGCCCGGTCACGCTTCGTCGCTTTGGCTTGCTCCGAGCTGCGTGGGCACGGCTGTGGGGCCTCTCAGGAAATTCATCGGCTGCGGCTGTTAAAAAAAGACATCAGAAAATAGGAGAACCTAAAAACAACAAGAAACAAAAACATCAGAACATGGATGGTTTCCCTTGGGGGGATTGAAAATGAAGGGGAAAGCATCCATTCCGAAGGTTCCCCATGGAGTCATTGCCCGCCTGCGTCGGCCGCATGGCGAGCTTCGCCCTCATCGCCAGAACTGAGGCACAGGGCCACATCGCCAGCGCCTGCGCCCACTCCGAACCAAGGCTTGAATCAAGTGCATCAAGCTCATGCACAATGGAACTGACAAGTTGACAACGTGGCAATGCTGGTAGGCAAGCTGACGTCTCCCACACATCTCAACGAAATGACACGGAAAGCGAACTAACTCGCAGACGTTTCCTGCGGCTGGCTCCATTTCGACGTCTGGCTGGGCCGGACCTCATACACCAAATTCGGATCCCTGAGTTGCAACAAGCTACTAAGCACTCATGGAATTGGCAGGAAGCCCATCACCCTGGTTGCGGGTTCCCCTGGCAAAAAAAAACCTCAGCCCAGCACCTTCCGGATCTTCCTGCTTCACCAAAGCACGGGAGCCGCTGGCTTCACATCCCGCATCCTCTCAGAGAGGCATGACTGACAGGTGGCGATAACTCCCTGCACAAACAAAGTGAACAATGAGTTCAATCACCATATCAGCGACACGTAGTTCACCAAACCATGCCAAAACAAGCCATCCGATGATAGGCTACCACTGGCATCCTCTTGCCCTTGCCCCACCTGCGTTCGGCCGATTTAAACCCCCCCAAGACCAGGCCCGCAGCACACGTGCCGCACTCACGCCTCTTCGCTGGAGTCCACCTCGAAAGTGGGCACCTCGCGGAGGAGAAGTGCGACCTCGACATGGGCCGAGGCTTTCAGCCGGGTGAAACCTATGGCATAGGTCCTAGGTGTCCTTTTAGGTGACCTCAACATTGACCTGAAAACCAAAAAATGGTTTGGGGCATAGGTGTGTTGCTTTAGGGGAAATAGATGTTTTTTTTCCTTGGCAAATGAGGGAAAAAACACCAGGGAAACCAGGGATCGCCATGCATTTTTCGACCAAAACAACCAAAAGGACACCTATGGACCTCAACCCTCCCCAAGGAGACCAAAGGGTCGACACGAGTGAGGTGAACAAAACATGTTCTGTCCACCGGCCTGCGCGTCCGGGGCGGGCTCCAGCGGCACCTGCCAAGACGTCTCTTGAAGGCAAGTATTTGCAAATTTGCTGCGGATGCGGGGCGGCGGGGGGAGGGAAGTGAGGGAAGGGGGGGAAGTGGCGGGAGGGAACTGGTGGAAGGGGGAAGGGGGAAAAAATGGAGAAAGTAGGGGGCCTGGGGGGTGGTCTGTTGATGGTCCCCTGTTGTGTTTTTTATATTCATCTCAAACCTATTAACCACCTTATTCGTTTTTAAAAGAGGGTTTTTAGGGAGCTTATTTATCGTTTTCGTTAAGGTAATCACTTGGGTAAATTGTCGCCTTGTTCATTGTTGGGCTGGGGGCCGACATTTTTTTCATTTGAAAGAGTTAACCCTTTTAGTAGTTATCAAGTTCTGGGGTGTTGGTGGTTCTTTTGTTTGTCGCTGTCTGGTGGTGGATTTCTCACTTTGACATGTTGTTTCTTTACCATGCGGTATTTCTCAAAAGCATTTGACGCCCGTAGTGATTTGACTTCCCTTCTCGGTTTGTCTATCTGACAATGGCTCCTAAGCAGTTGCCAGTGGCTGATGCGAAGGCAAAGGCCACGACAAAGGCGAAGGCGAAGGCGAAGGCTCAGGCATTGCAACAGTATGCTGAGCCCGATGTGCCAACCCCGTTTGACGGCAACAGTGATGACTTCATCGCTCAGTTGCTTCAGATGGAACAGATGGAGGAGATGATGGGCACCGTTGCTTCGTCGTCCAACGACACCATCGACATGGTGCTCCCTCAGTTGGTGGAGAAGCTTGAGGGGTATGCCAAGGCGAAGGACGCTCTACAGTCAGTGAAGAACGCCCGCATCGCCATTGCCAAAGCATCGGCTCACCAAGTGGAGACAGAAGCCAAAGCAAAGGCTAAATCCGCTGCCGCTGACGCCCAAAGGCATCGCAACATCACGCTGAGCG